GGCATCGACCCCGAAGCCCGCTGCGAGGCCTGCGCGCGCGATATTCCTTTCGTCGTTCCTTAAATCCTCCCGGTAATTGCTTCTTCTCCGCTGCCGCGAGCTCTCGCGCTTCCCGAGGTAGCGTCAGCAAATGATTCGATCCGCGATCATCCGGGGTGAGCCGGCCGGATGAGAAATTTGGCGAGCCAATGTCTCGCTTATCGTTAACGATAGCCGAACGAATTTCCTCTCACCGTCGTCTCTGTGCGTCGCGCGAGTAAGATCGGCTGGACTTAATTAACCCGAGCTATCATCGGCAGAATGGTAATTCCCGTTTGCTACGTTAGGAATACGCGCGCTCGTTGGCATCATGTGTGTCCGTGATGTGTCGATAACAGACTGTCTGATGCGTCGGCGCCGAAATACGCCTCCTGGCTCTTTCGCGACAAATGACGTAAGCGCGATTTTCATTTACTTGCCATTATCGGTCCGTTTTCAACCTGATCGATTAGTTTATTTTTACACGCCTGATAAACTCTCGCGTTCTATCTTCGCTCTTCGCTAAGCGACGCTCTTTACAACGTTATTCCCGCCAGTCGATTTTCTATATCGGGTCGCGGACTCGAATTATTCGCGACCCACGCCATAGTCAAAGGGCAGGCCTGCCATTTTGTCTCGGGTGCAGCAATTACCGAGGTTGCATTGCGACGTTCGCTTGCAGTGCGCATGTCCTCGAGGGTGAAAGGGTTAAAAGGCTTCCCCTCCCTTACACCGGAGGGCAGGTCTTCGAGGCTCTTTCATTTCCTATGTACGCGTATATCAATGTGTATGTAGCCTTACCGTTGCAATTACTCAGGCGATTTTTGATCTAATGCGTATAAGGCTGAAAATCGTGTAACTCTCGATCTAAAAAACAGTAAAGCGCAGGGGAAAGAGGTATAATTTCCTAGATGGAGAATTCGATGATTTTCAACGTTACACACTAAAGTGATAACTATTATAATCCGAGCTATTTTAATCTTATTGCATTATAATCATCAGCTAAGTTCAAAACGGTTTAACCGTTGTTTAACGAATTAGTCAAAAATAAGTTCTCTCATTGGACTATCGGCTGCACTGTGAACTTAACTGCGTTCAAACCCCCGTTGTAAATATAACATCGACCGTAAGTTGTCAGTGGGCACGTAGGATCCGCAAATCACTTAGGTCGATCACGCACGCCGCGAGGAAAGCGCGTTACGTGGATTTCCGACCGCGCATCCGTATGCATTCTTCATTAAGCCCCCCTCTCTCTCTTGTGTGTGTTCCTTTTTTTGCTACGCCGGGCACGCCGAGCAGCGCGCGACGTTCGCCCACCCTCGGCGGCGCGCAACCCTTTTTTTTCCGCCGTCGACGGCGATAAAAAGCGATCCGGGTGGCACGGAGTCGCGCGGGAACGATGGTCGCGTGCCTGTCCTGTTTTCCGCCGTAACAAAACAAGCTCGTGAACGCGCGGCAAGAAAAAGTTCGCCGAGACAATGACGCCGGCGCAGCTGGTTAAACGCGGAAGGGTTGCCGATTAGCATAAAAGGGCACGATTACACGGACGCGGGGCGGAATCGGATCATGCCGTCGGGCTGGCTGGCTGGCAAAACGAACTTTTTTGCCCGCCGAAATTATATGTATGCGACAATGAGTAGCTCGCTCGATGTGTCGCCCAAATAAGGGCGAGGTGAGCGCATTTAGCGAGAGGCTTCATGAGTGAATTTTCGTGAAATTTCGCGGCGGGAAAGCGCCGAAAATCCCTTTTTCACGTGAGGACACAAGGACACAATTGTGCTCCTTTGATGCTACAAACGGGAAGTTGTTGCCGTTTTCTCCATTTCAAGACTTAATGTGGAACTTAAATTTCGACTCGGAAATGTTTATAATTTTTAGGATTAATATTTTCACAGCAACTTTAGCAACGTGACCTGTTTAAGAGAGTTAAATGCACCAGAACTAAATATAATTACAATCGAGAAGTTGTCTGTCATGGAACGGACTATAATAGAAATCTAGAATGGTCTGTATAATAATAAGTATTTATATTATAAATCCATATAATCTCAACATATATAACTCAGAGCGTAAATTGAAACAGCTTATAAATCTTAAATTATAATCCGCTTTTATATACTCCAGTTATAATGGAAGATATATATGTTATATTCTCTTTGATGCGACTTGTCTCATTCTTTACCCGGTTCGCTTGAATTAGAACTAAAATCATATTTTGAATCATAGATTGAGATTTAGCTTAAGAAGGAGCCGACAGATTTATTAATATACCGCAAAATGAATGGCGACAATATAAAGAAACGGTCCTATTCTCATCAGAATGGGAACCGCAATTTGTTTGACGTCACTACGATTTTATACGTGTAGTTATCAAAGAGCGACGAATTCTTTAATCGAGGTACGTGCAATGATAACATTGCACACCGCTCTTTAAAATTGATTCTTCCTCTTCGTTTAGACAACGGCTTCAACTTATTCAATATTCAACTTTTACGAGCCAATCATCATTATATTATTTTTTTCGAAGTATATACCCTCAAATATTGTAATCTAAAATGATCTTTTTATTTATTCAAATAATGTTATAAATTTCTCCGTTCACGAATTTAGTAATTTATATATTAAATTTTTTTTTATTTTGGCGCGGAAATTGCTCCAAATTTCAGCACATGATTTGGAAACTTGGTAATTTTTAGACCAATATTCCGCTATTAACGTTAAGGACTACGCGATAAATGCACGCTTGCATTTGTCATCGTACGTAAAAATGCTCAGCCAAGAATTGACTGCTAGTCTTGGTCTCAAATTATAATTTGACTGTAACTCGATGCTAGACCGTTACTGGTTGCCGATACTCCGAGGCGATGTCGAAAATCTGTCACCTAGTAATGGCACAACACAAGGCCGTTCGTAAAACCATGTATGAGTGATCGGAAATATTGAAGAGGGTAACCGAAAATTGTCGATGGAGTTATAAAAAGTGGGCTCCGTGGTCTCTCGACCCGGCCCCTCGTACCCTATGCGGCAAAAAGCTGACGTGGGGTTGCAGGATCCCGAAATACGAACAACAGTGCATTATTTATGTGTCGCTCGGATGACACCGTGTGTCGACACGCGCCCGTTTTTCCAGCCAGAAGGATGATTTAATTAATGTTGCCGCGTCAAGCGAGCGAAGACGCGAAAAGAGGTGTAAAAAGTTTCTGAAGCAAAATTCTACAGATTACGAGTAACTGTTTGTCTCGAATTAGCTTCTTCGAATTTTTCATTTTTTTTTAAATTCAATTTAGTCCTTTATCTTTCCCGTTTTCCTGTTGAATAATACGATGCCTGAAAATGATTATTGTCGATCATTTTCCACGTGACTCTCCCGCGATACGAGAACAACGAACACCGAGAGAGCGACGATTGGCGTGAGATTCGCGAGAACGACCGTTGCGGGAAAATCATAGAATCCGAATCAATGAGAATATCGTTCGAATTACAGTCTGTTGGGTGCTATTCTAATTTTCGGGCTGTTGCGTCGTGCACCCTCTGACACGTGAAACGAGTCATCGATTCATTCGACTTTCTCGCTCGCTTTTTTTATCCGTGTTTCCGCTGCAAAAGAAAAGAAAAAAATGTGATGATCGCAATGAGAAAGAACCGCCTTACGTAGAGTAACAGAAGAGAAGAGGAAGGAAAAACCGTGGCTTTACCGGTGTGCACTCTCGCAAATGCCTCGGTGACGGAAGAAAGAAACGTGCTCGTTAAATTGTAACAACTACCAAATTCCGTTCCCGGATAAAAGCGACGCTAACGGAGTGCGTAAGGAGGAGGGAGTGAACGAGATTGCGGAATAGAAAAGAAGAGGAGAGAGAGCCCCCCTCTCCCGGGGGGGGAAGGAGAAAGAGCGAGATCGCGCAGTGGAGGGTGGCTCTATATGCATACGAGAACATTCAGGTGTCAATCAATGTTCGGGATCTTTGGACTTTGGGGTGTCGGAAGCCGATTTTTCCGCTAAAAATTTACGTATTCATTCACGCGAGGACCGCGCGAGCGGAGGCACGATGGTAGAGGGCAGGGGCAGATTACGAGCGGGAAGTCTGTTTGCTTTTTCATCACTTTTGACTTCATATTCGAGAGTATATTTTTTGCGCCAACCGTCACGCATTGTTAACGTCAACTCACACTTTTTTTTTACACGTTGCTGCCAATAACGACGCGGAAAGCCGGAAACGAGTCTATATCGCGGTGTTACGAAAGTTCCACTATGAGATCCTAAGCGAGTACACGCTCGTCAATCCGTACCGGAGATTCTTTCCGCGTTGAGAGATTTTTGGTAAGTTATTTTTCATTAATAACTCACGACTTATAAGCTATTCTCAGTATGTAGTGAATATATTTCGGTTCATACGGTGGTTTATATGGCGAGAGATAATATTATATAATAAGAATAATATATTAATATGTTAGTAAATGTAGCACTAAAACAACCGTACTTTGGCTTCTATTGGCCATTTAATTTAATCATTTTGTTCTCTAAAAATAATTTTCAAAAAACATCCTAAAATTGACTAACCTAATTTTTAAGAATAATAATATCATATTAATGATATTATATAACCGTATTGTATATTTTTATAATAATCGAGTCTTCTTTTATGAATTTCCATCGACTTTCTAAAATCACCGTGGTGCGTTAAACGATCGATATTACGAGGAAATGCGGTGGACAGGAAAAGTCGTATTGTTGAATAAATTCTCCGATTTTTGTTAAACCGCGTATGATTTATTGTGGCTCGCACAGCGATATCGTTTCACACCGCCGTGTGAATATATGACTAGCGCGCACACATTCTCGTACGCGGTAACAGATAATAATATAACGTAACGTTTTTCTAACTTATAAAATTATCGTAATAAAATCTCTCACGAATCTCAGAGATCCATGAGCCAGCGAAACAAAGAACGGTTGAAATCAGTAGGATCGAATCACCGGCAGATCAGCGTCTGCACTCCGGTCGGTCGGCGTTGCCCGGCCAGTCGCAGATGAACTTGGACGTGTGGAAGATCAAACCGGCTGCGCATTGTGTCTTGATAGGTTTGCCGTGGTTGCAGATGTAGTACTGCAAAGAGATAAATGTAATGACGTCGAGGGCGTACGAACACTCCAAGATATATTGGCCAAGATACAGATTCAAACAGGTTGGGTTTACAAGTCATTTTTTTGTACAGTGGTGAATAGAAAGATGGCAACAATTTTTTTTTTAGACACGATTCGGCAGTTTTGACCAAATTCATCCGTCAATATCAATGTGAACGAACGAACTTACCACTGAACAGTCCGTGCTGGGGATGAACCTCTCGCCGTTGCAAACGACGTTGTCGTCGTCGGTTGGCTTCGAAGTGGGCACCGATTGCGTAGGTCCCTGAGTTGGATCGGTGGGCCTTGGAGGTGCCTGTGTGGTTGGTTTGGTCTGACCGTTCGAGGATGGCGTACTGGGCGGCCTGTCCCACTCGGGCTGAAATCAGACATTGCAATTGTCGCATTGTTCAGTTTTCGCGAAGCACTCTCGTGCAACCGCGCGCGATATCCTCTCTTGGATGCTTGAATATATTCGATTCGCCCGTGAATGTCTTACCCTGGGAGTGCTATTGAAAACCTTGGGCTCTACCGTGTAGCCTTTCAGACCTTCGTACATAGTGGTCATGAGAGGATTCACGGGGCCGCAGGTTCCTTTGAAGTCGTCCATATCGGTAGCCCAGACCATAACACCGCCGTAGTGCTTCTCCTTGAGGAAGTTCATCTTGTGGACGATACTGTCGGCATCTTCGTAGCCGACCCACTGAGTTCCTGAGGACCAAAATAAATACGAACTCTCAACTATCGTCTGGCTTTGACACCCAATCTTTCGCAAATGGGTTGAGCTGAAAATAACTTCGTTCGATAATAGCAGAAATGAATAGAGATTAAATGGCAGAATAGATAGATGATAATAATATAATAATAGATCATGAATGTGTCATACTGAACGATCACTAAATTTATTTTTATTTTATTTTATCACTTTATTCTGCCGGAAGTCCATCCTTGGTGTCAGTCGAAAGATAAGGATGTGACGCGAATGATATTTAACGAAGAAATCGAATAATCGGACAATATTTTTAAGCCAAACGTCCATTAATGCATTCACCCCGTAATATCTCGATTTTCCCGGTCTCGGAGTCTTGACTCTGAATTCGCGCTATGAAGAACAGAATCAGAGAAGTCTCCGTCCCGCGATATTCCCCCGAAGAGATATTAAACTTACCCTTGTACGCGTATGGCACTTTGCCGATGTCGTCATAAGCTTTGGTCCATCCGTCTTCGTTTTGAAGCTTCATGCAGATCTAAAAATAATAATACCGCGACGTAATAAACGTTTCAGCCTGCCCCAAATCGATTACTTACTTCGTAGTAAGCCAAGAATCCTTTAGCTCCTGTGTATTTGCCGGCATCGCCGCCACCGGCTTCCTTGTTGATATAAGTTCCGGGCTTGTAATCTTTGTTACCCTGGCTGAGGGTGAAGCTACGTCCGTACAACGGGATCCCTACAATGAGTTTGTGAGCGGGACATCCTTTCTCTTCCCAGAGTTGAAGACCGTCATGCTGCGAACAACGGCGGTCGGGAATTAATAACGAGTCAATTGGTCTTGTCAACGAGTGAATTGATATTAGCCGTCTTAATAGACGCAAACTATCCTTCAGGGCGGCCGAGTAGCATCAAAATCTCAACTCGGGTCTGCGCTTTTATCGAAACGAAGAATGTATCAAAATCATACCACGTTCAGTTTCTCATAGGCGTACTGATCGTGAGGTCGCCTGTAGAGCGGGCTGTGAACGTCCGCGAAACCGCCCCAGTTGCCGCGAAGATCGTAAGACATCACGTGGATGGCGTCGCACAGTCTGCACGAAGATAATTCAAATAATTACGCTCGCATTTTTACTAATTATGTATTTATTTATTAACTATGCATTTATTAACTATGCGCGTATACACGACGTCTCGTGTTGTACTGGATGTCGCATCAACATATAGGTCAATATGAGAGATTGCCTACTCCCTTCGTTAGATGACAACGCGATTTACACACACTTTTTCACATCGTCGACTGGCAAATATTAGTGCGAAACGTTTTGCAAACGAGCGCGTGCACCTGCTAGAAAAGCGAGTAGACAACCCGTCATACTGATCTGTATGTTGATGCGAAACCTTGTACATTTTATCGTCCCGCGATTGCCGAAGACGTTAATCCACCGGCGAAAGCGATGAATGGCTACTTACTCGCACAACTCTGGCACATGGTATCCCTCGTTGAGACGGAATGTGGCCATCGGTACAGCCATGGTGATCTCCCAACCTTTGCCCTTCTTGTCGAACGCCATCCTCAACTCCTCGACGAAGTAGAAGAAGTTGTTCTTGTCGCTGAAAGTGCCGCCTCTGTCGGTAGCAGACGGGTATTCCCAATCGAGATCGAAGCCGTCGAAGCCGTATAGCTCCATGAATCCTGCAAAGGAAATCGAGAATTTGACGAGTTCCTTAATCTCTGCGTCTCTTGTAATTTTACTTTTATTAAGCATTTTTTTTTTTAAGATGAAATGATTAAAAGACATTTTTTAAGACAAAACCGGAAATAAACATCACGGCATAAACAATAAACAAACGATACTTTTTAATAATTCTATATAGATTTAGCTTTATGCTGGCGGGTGGAGCACACTCACCGACGATGCTTTGGATGAGTGAGGTTCGCTTGGCTGGATCGCTGACCATACTGCTGTACTTTCTGCCACCTTCAGCCCAACCACCGATAGCGACCTGGGTCTTCAGGTGCGGATACTTCTGTTTTAGGGCGACGAACTTATTGAAGCCGCCTTGTTGCACGTCGAGTTCTTCGTCGAGAATGAGTACCCCCCAAGTGACATTGCTTACACCGATGAAGGAGTAGATAACGTGTGTGCACATATCACCGGGAATGTCGTCGATGCCATAGCTGCCTATGTCCGGGCGGTAGATAGCCCAATTACTGAAGTAACAGACGAACCTTGGTGCTTCTGAAACATAAATGTTGCAATTAGTGTTGCTTAATAATGTACAATTCACGATGTATGGTTATTTTTGTCATCTAGGACAAAAATACCAACACCTGAGTTAACAAAAGAGATTAAATGTATCGAGGAAGTTATATGGTCAATTCAAAGTACACACCACGATAAGATATCCAGAAATAGATATGTAACAAACGTATATTTGTGTTGCAATTAGTTACATATCTATTTCTGGACATTTCATCGTAGCGTATATTTCAAATTGATTATATAACTTCTACGATACATTCAGCCTCTTTTGTTAACTCAAGTGTTAGTGTTTTAGCTCTACATCGCAAAAATAACCATACATCGTGAGCTTCAACTTTGCACGCTGTTTTATATATACATATAAATTCATAAGATATACAATTTTAATGTATTGCGTGATTTAATAATATTAAGTAAAGTGGCTGCAAAATTTACGTTCGTCTGTCTATCCGGTGGTCATCAAATTGCTTTGATTATAGATAGCTGCTTATTTACATCTATGTTGATTCAGTTTCTTCCACACAACATCAGTTTGCGAAACAAAGAGTCATAAAATCGTAATACAAAGCGCAAAATGGATAATTACGTGGCGGAGCAGCTCATAAAAATAATAAAACGCAAACATTCGATGTACATTAGCACCAATATTTTTCACGATAGCGCGAATTGATTTTCGCGTGTCGTCTTTATCTTATCGTCGAAGAGAAGATAGCTCACCGGCCGCTCCGTACGCCAAGAGTGCCAGGAATACAGGAACAGAAAATAGCAGTTTTCCCGTCATCTTGAAATCTGCAATTAATTCAATGAAATGACGTTAAATAAGTAATAATGAACTGCAATGAGTCTGCAATAAAAACGAACTGGACCCGTCGAACTCGTACTCCTTCGAACTACATTGTTCAACAGTTGGCTCTTAAAATTTATCTTTAAACATGATTAAACTCCATAAATATTATTAAACTAATGCATAGTGTTATCTCGGCATGCAAAAAAAAAAATATTTATAATTACTTCGATATTTCGATATTCCGTTTTCTTTTTCTTTTCTCTTCCTAAACAAATTATGCGTGTAAACTGTTTCTACTCGAGAACACTGTTAAATCGCGTGTTCGAAACTTCGGTGCGGTTTCCTCGACAATTGACACGTTTCTGCATCGCGGCCGGTTACGGGCGCTTCATCGGACCTCCGCGGAAACTCCTTGGAGCGTAAACCGATCGATTGATCGCGATGTCGTCGTGCTCAAGGGGAATGATCTATAACGACCGGTTCTCTCGGAACGGGACAGTAGAACACTGGCACCGTCGTGAAATCTTCAAACGACGTGCCCAGTGATGACGAAGATACTCGTTCGCGCGACATGTGGCTCTCTCGAGCTCTCCGCGCGATCTCGACCTCAAAATTAACGTGATCTTCGCAAAAATAGAAAAAAAGAACGGCAAGTTTGATATTTCACATCGTCAAATTTCCAATTCGAACATTATTTTCACGTTCTATTAATAACATCTGAAATGAATCTCAGGTAAACCCGATCATTCGACGCTTATAAACGGCCGCGACTAAATTTATTAATGTAAAATCAGATCGGGACGGTGCTTCTTCCGTTGCTCACCTCTCATTATGATGCGTATGTATTTTCCACTAGCGTATAATAATTATAGCAAAGCGGTCGTGTGTTATAATCATCGTTTTAATCGATAGATATTAATCTTGAATGTCTCTAACTGTTTCCGTGAGATTATATATTCAACTATTCCAGTCTGACGAAGTCATCGATCTATCCTCGGATAGAATTAACTGAGTGCGGATAACGGTTAAGAATTCCACCTAATCGTATTATTTCGATACGTAGTTTATTAATATGTAGTTCCAGATTAATCTTCAAGGAAGATATACCGAAGAATATTGCTCAGTTTCAATCGCGGCGTGATTGAAGTCTTGCGTTGAGCAACAGTTGTCTTTAATATCATAGTATTTTTTCGTTAAAATTTTCTTTTTAGTTTAGAAGATATTAAAAATAGAAATTAAAAATAGCACGTTAATTTTTCAAAGAACACGTATAGAAAGCGTCAACTTTGCAAATATTTCAGCTCTCGGACGGTTAATCTTTTTTGCACGAGCGGTTAAATAATATTTTAACGTATACGTAGTGCAAGTTTCACCGAATTCTTATCAAACTCATATCGCCTTACAACCTCCTTAAGACTTTCCTCGAGAAAATATTCTTTTTTGAAAATAACTGTTACTTAAAAGTTACTTAAAAGAAGGAAAATAAATCAAGTAATCGCTTTTCTCAGCGGAATGATATTTTTCTCAATATGTAACTCGAGTTGCGAGAATCCGGTTGCGAGTAAACAGAGAAAATCGAGATCCCGATGAATCACGGGACGCGATGCTCGTCGAGACGCGCGATTACAAATTCCCAAGAATACACTTAACTATTCCTAAATGAGATCCCGTTAATTAAAACCGACAATCGCCACCGCGCTGCACGTTCCGCGCGGAGACGGGCGAAGGGATTGCGCGCGTCTGATACCGACAATTCCTCGGCGCAATTTTCGCGCGATACGGAGGAAACAGAATTACGACTGTAATACAGTTTTGTGGCATTATAAAACGTGCTACGGGAAACCCTGGGCTTATTCCTGCGTTAAATTGCGCAACGCATTGTGACTGCCGTTGCCGTGTAAAAAAAGCAGCAGGTAGTAACAGACGGTGACGCGTTTTATTCGCGACTTCAAACTCGAGCAAAGAGAAGAAAAGAGCAAAAGTGTCGTACGAGTATTACTGAATTGAAGAAAACGAGAAAGAAACGGAAGAAAAAATCATTTCTTTAATTACGAACGGTCGTTTTCAAAAGAGCGCGCTCGCGCTCGACAGTCGCGAATACCGGTGCTACGAGTTTGTCGCGCCCGTAGGAGGGATTAACGACCCGGGTCCGCGACCGGCAAAGGGGAGGACGGTGTTTTGAAGTTATAAAATCTCTGCCGAAGTTCCTTCTCTCTTTTACGCACAGAGCCGGCGCCGAATAACGATCCGAATTCGGGGAAATGCGCGAACCTCTTGGGAGGAATCAAAGACCGTCCTTCGGATTCTCTGCTTCTCTCTGTCTCTTTCTCTCCTTCTACGACCACCGTGACAGGATAAAGAGTCGGGTAATGTCACGACAGTGGTTAAAAATAAATGAACACACCGTGCGGGCCGTGTATCCTCCTGGCACCGCGAATCCTCGCACGAATTAAGATGCGCGATGCATCGGTACCCGCGACTCCTGTTCCGCTCGTTACACTTTGAATACAAACTTGAGTCCTCGGGACGTCCGTTGTTGCTCCGAGACGTGTATTTGGATGCTTTCGCGATGTCGCACGTTCCATCCCTGGACTACCAACGACGAGCGAAATTCACCGGCTCGAATAATCGAAATTAATCCCTTTAACGCCGCGCGTTAATCTCGAAGATATTGAAGTTTTAAGCGCGAAGATTCTATCATTATAAAATAAGGACTCTCTCTCTCTCTCTTCATTTCAAAAGCCGAGAGAATTGACGGGAACAATTTTACGGTGCGCGAGTCTCGTCATTTTCTATTCCCCAAATTTCGTGGAGTTTGAAGTTTCGCTCGAAAAGTAAAGTGACAATCGAGTTAGATGCTGAAAATCGTGTAATTCACGATCTAGGCAATGGTAAAGTATATACGATGTCGTGTATATTCCGTCGTCACGTAATCAAATTTGCTCGGATCGATTGAAACGTTCATTCATATGCGATCGGAATCCAATTTAAGCTTGCATTCATTTTTGCAATTTTGAATGGTAATATTTTCGTCATTGTTTCGAGTGAAAATACTGCCACTTCCACTCTACCGATACTAATTATTTCCCGTGCAAGAATGTTGGATTCTCGGGATGAAACGAGGAACAAAGACCGGAGAATGACGTATTCAGACGATCGCACGTTATCCGAATGGAGCTACGAACGTCGCTCGCGACGTCCCTCAGAGAAGCATCATTAGAAGTATCCTCGCGTGTTACAATCGCATTGCTCGCTTTGTGCGAGGCAAGATAACGGTTGCGATCCGGCCGCTCGATGTTAATTAATGTTTTGTTATTCGACATCGATCACACGCTGCCGGCTCATTGGTAACGGTGAACTCTTACGAAAATCTCCGTTTCGGTTCTTTTTTTTTTTATTATGATAATATGGTAGCCGAAGGAGTCTCGTGACTTACTCGGGCACACCTCCGGTTTGACCTTCGGTTCGTCGAAAAAGGAAGCAAACAAACCCGAGCGAGTTTCGCCGCACGAAAGATTCCAATGAGAGTATCTCATGGAATGACATCGTATCTTTTTTTGCGAGAAAAAAAGCGAAAAAAGGCAAGCCATAGAAGTGACGTCTGGATGATGAGAGAGAATCGCGATGGACCTCGTCTTGGCGCGAAATATGCGAGGATATCGTCGATCTTACTCTCTCTTTCTCTCTGGATGTGCCGATCGATAACGAGCGTCCTCAGCGAACAACGGATGGCGCCGAAACGGACACTCGTAAACGACGAAAGGGATGCTCGGGACGGAAATTTAACGAGCCGTTGTCCCAAGTGTTCCCGACGTAGGTGTAACGGGTTGACCTTCGTTTCGGCCGGCACGAGGCCCCGAAAGAAAAACGAAATAATTAAGGAGGCTCTCTCAGTAACGCGTTCTCGTGTCGACGAACCCCTCGAGATTCCGCCAGATTCGCGCGTAGGCCGAGCAGTTTTACGATGGCGCGATATCGTTGATGAACTCGCTATCGAGCGGGCGGGACGTGGGCTTAATGGAAAACGGCGATCGGGATGACAGACGCGATCGTAAATCGGTTTTTAATGAGCGATATAACTCGCAGTAAAAGCTCAGACCGTTAAACTCGAAAGGATCAGCTCAACGGAATAACGTCATCGTAAATAAATTCAAATACACGTGGATAAGCATTATTAATATGCATTGTCGCTGGGATTCGGTATCGCTAAAAGTAAAAATATCCCTTGGTGAAATATTCAATTTCGTCGAAAAAAAAACCCATGTTTCTGTATAACCGCGCACGTATCGTTGCATATCATCGGTCTCGGCAATTTCTCACGTTGACGTCAATTAATTAAGCGCACCAAACGAACTGTAGCAGCACTATAATACTCTGCGAAGAAAAAAAGTGTATTGCACTCTCGAAGTAACCAAATATTCATCCGAACTGAATACGGAACTGGTTATCCGAACTTGCTGATTTTTTCCACGAGATCAAGCCGCTTTATTTCCACCGCACAATCGGAGAGCACATTATTAAATCTGTCACACGTTGTACTTATGTTGAAGTATTCTTCTTTCCATCGTCAACGTGACTCACAATCTATTTCTACTATTATATTTTTCCTGCGAGGATCTACGAAATTTCTATCACAAAGTTACGCAGTTTCGCGCGCGTATCAAGCCTCTGTCTATTGCCTACCTCCGAGGAAGACGAGCAATCGATGGAATAATTGGCTGTCACGAAGCCGAGAAACACAATTACAGGCAACATAACGTTTAGACACTGCAAATAAACCGGTAAGCAAGCTGTTTGTCTTGATGATCCTGATTTTTTTTTTCATTGTTTCTACCGCTCTCCGTTGCGCGTGTATCTCTCGCGTTAATGTTTTGTAACACATCATGAAATCAACACAACTATGGACGGACTAAGAAGTCAAACGAATCGAAGAACGAAACACGGTAATTCGATAGATCTTCGAGAGAGAAGCCGTTATTATCAACGATTCGTCGATTATAATACAAATGATTAAATTATTTATATATTTATATTTAAAAAATTAGTTTTAAAAGAAATGATTTCGAGGACATTCCGTTATCTCCACGAAAACCTCAAGTGTCAAATTTTCTTTCGATCGTTTACTACATATAATAGAAACGAAAAATAAGTTTTTATTTTAATTGTTGCATTCGTAAGTAATAACCACAAAATTAATTAAAATTAACGATTCAGATCCAGGACACAATTTTTGCGTTGGCCAATGTTATATGTTCAATATTCCGCCGAATATGCAAGTAATAAGAGACTCTCGCTCGAAATGAAAACGATAATACGGTTCGATAGAAACGATAGAAAACGTATCACGGAGAATATCGCGAAGCGATAGAGGAGGACTCACCTGCGCGACGGACAGATACCTCGGAAAAATCGCGCCTGAAGCCACGAGCTTAAGCTCATATATACCCAAGCGGGTCTCATTAGAATTCAGGTGCACGGGCCCCCGCACGATTGGCTGGTTCGTCGACCCTCTGCCTCCCGTCGGCGTCTCCTCGACGTCGTCGAGGGACGGGTGTCGCAGGACGATCCGTCAGCGCGGCCGCTCGTCATTCGCGCTTTCGCAGGCGTGAGCAAAGGTGGAGGATCGTCGCGATAATCCCGACGATAATCCGAAATTCGACGACGTGTCGCATCCGCGTAGTCGACATGCACATGCCCTGGTCCTCTTTTCTTCCTCGCCGATACTTTTTTTCGTCGTAATTTAGGAGAAATTGCACCGGGGAAACATTCGTGTGGGACAAATCGCAAGCGGCAAACATGAAAGCGGACCTTTGGGGAAAAATCGTAATAGCGCGACATACGGTTGATCCTCGATAACATCCACTTTATTTGACGCGTCATTCAGATATTGTGTTATCGACATCGGAACCTCACGCTAAGCTTCTAAATAGAGTCCGGTGTCGATACGATACGATAGCCGAGCGCGACTCTTCCTTCCAATACGCGAAAAGTACTGTGCGTTGTGATATTACCGCGAACAATTCTTTCTACTAATTAATCTTACTAATTGAACCTTGAGTTTTGACGTATGATAAAAATACACGATCTTCAATATAAAGCTTGCGGTATCGTTCGTTAATATCATTTAATTCCTGCAATACGATAATGGTATTTTTCTTCAATATGTATAGAATGTTATGTTGCGTATAATACACCGCACGCAAAATATTTTCTTATTAATTAATCTTATTAGTTAAGCCTTACATTTCAACGAATGATAGAAATATATAATCGTCAATAGAGCTCGTGGTATCCTTTATTAATATCTCATTTAATTACTGCAAACTCCATGCGATTCTCTCTTCAATACACAAGAGATATTATGTTTTGATGGAGCCGCAAAGTTTTCTTATTAAATGATCTTGCTAATGAAGCCTCGAGTTTTGACGAATAACAGAAATACGCGATCCTCAATAGAGCTTGCGGTGTCGTTTATTAATATCTCATTTAATTGCTTCGTACGGGCAAAATGCCGTTGCGCCATCGCCATTAATTTCCATCGGTTCGAAACAATAACGGAAATAATATTCTTCTTCGTGACCACCTGGTAGGTAATCAAACAGCTGTTAACATAGTAGCATTGACGCATTCGTCGTTGTCATTTACCATTACGCGCGGATGAAAGCGATCCGAACGACCGGAGGAATTGTCAAAATTCAAAATATCATACGAAGGAGATGAAATGCGGCCGATGTATTCTTCTCCTTCGCGTGTCCGTGCAAGGCGTGTCTTCGGAGCGCTGTTGTTATTGTTATTAACACTCTTTGCGCCGCTTATGTCGTCGTCAAATCGTTCGCAACGATTCGCATACGTACGTATGTGTGCGAGTATAAAGTACTAATTAGCGAACGAATAACATTCGATTTATCGCGGTTAACAATTGACGCGCATAAAAAGAAGTTGATTAACAATGCTACACTTTTTCACGGCTGTTTGTTCGTTCGTTCGCGAAATGCTCCTTAGTTGATTGTTCAAATTACGCAAGCGGTCAGATAATATTGGTACAAGTGAAAACATTTTTTTACCTCCGCGACAAGACGCACTGCCACACAAGGTATTTGTCGAACCGTGAAAGTCGCGCACTTTTGGCTTCTGCTACATTGTTAATGCATGATTGGCTCATACAAAAGTGCAGAGACGTCAAACTATTCCGGGAGTCATCGTTTATTATTGAAATAAATTCGCGGGACTTTTCCGCGGGTCACTCCGAATAATCGATTCACTGTTGGGAAATTATTGTTCCATAACGAAAGTCCTGCTACATTCACCGGATACCGATCAATATGATTCGTACGTTGGCTGGTGTAGTTTTTAAATTTTACATCCAATTACCAACTTCAATTTTTATTGGCTTCTTTCAGCTACTCAAGGATTTGCATCCCGAAAGAGAGAGAAAAAGAGAGGGAGAGAGAGGGAGCGCTTTAGTTATATTTTTTAGAATTTAAAAAATTCAATAGCTTTCCATCACGTTTGGTTAAAGAGAAAAGCTCTCTGTGAATTCACCGCAAATTTCACGGTTAAAGGTACGTCCGACGACGCCGCGACATTCGGCAAGAATTTGGAGAGAACAGCGGTCGGCTGTCAGTCATGCTTCAAAGATTGCCGTATTTCGGGGTTGCTGTGCCCGCGATTTTTCTACCGGAAAATTCACGTGTCCATTCACGCGTGGACCGCGCGAACGTAGGACGATAGGGACGGATCACGAGCGAAAAAGTTCTCTGTTTGCTTTTTCACCTCTCTTGACTTCATATTCGAGAGTGTGTTTTTTGCGTTCAACCGTCACGCATTGTTAACGTCGCTCACGTGCTCTCTTCTTTCTCGTTTTACACGTTACTGCCAATAACGTGGTGGAAAGGAGAGAAAACGAGTCTATCGCGACGCACGACCAAAAAGACATCGCGGTTTCATCGACGTCGATTTGCGGAAAAAGGTTTCAACGGCGATACTGTTCGACGTTCGCAGAGAGAGAGAGAGAGAGAGAGAGGATAGCTGCCGGGCTTTGCACAATGACGAGAAGCGAATTTGAAATTATGAGATATTTCATATTTTTTTCGGCTGAAAAATATCAAAATGAAATAATCTCGAAAAGTGTTCACTCTTCCTTGATCTTATTCTCATACTTTTATACGCAGAATGAACAGAGGAATTGATATGTGTTAAATAAAGAAAAAAATGAAGTTGACCTCCATTTGATCTCGATCCTCCATCTAAACTCAAACTGATAAGATTAGTAAGTAGATCTTTTTAAACCTTATAACTTTTATCTGAAACATATTTTTGCAGAATTGCATCGTTACGAGATATTCGACTTTAGCCTTTTAACCTACTTTGTATATAAATATTTACATACATGTATATGTATGCTTGATAAATAGTTAATTACTCGGGGCCATTGATGCGATCGCTAAAAATGAGACACTTGGCGAACGAACCTCGTTAACATTCAGCAATCTCAAGGAAAAATCGAGGATTATCGCGCGCGATAAATGAGGATGATACCGTCGATGAAAATTTCGGCGAGGAAAATTGAATTGAACCATCACGCGGGGGAGGAGGATGTCCCACCGCGCTTTGTTACTGCGAACAGCGAACAATACGCGTAAATACGCGTGTGCATAACGTGCGTCAAACTTTCTCGATTAAGAATGGAAACGGAGAGTTTAGCGCCGCTTCGTTCCAGTCCGGAAACATAATTTGTAATCGGCCGGGAGGGTGGAGGCCGCTTTCCCGATTATCCCGGGGAAGTTTTCGGGACTGGACATCATTATTATCTCGCGCGATTTTACGACAAGTTGGAAAAGCGGCTGACGGGTCGACCTGTGTTCGTCCGCCGCGGACGTTTTCACGGGCTTTTGAATGCGGGATGAATATCGGCTCGCTCGCTCGTTCGCTTCTCACGCCGAGCGCGCGAGCCGAGCATTATATCGCCTTCGCATTTACGAAGCTGTCACTGTCGGCTCGCGCTCACCGCGTTATGAAAGGGGTATTATGTTTTAATAATGGACAGCATCGCGCGTCGAATTCATCCGGTGGAGTGAAAACGCGTAACATTTATGTATTTTGCTCGGCCAAGTCTCGAATCGCATCGCCGTACGATACGTGCGATGATGTGTGTACGTGTCGAGTACGACCACGCTGTCGAAAGTTTCGATACCGCCGGAACGCTCTTTTCGTAGCTACACGTTCTCGTACGAGTGATTATGGGTAAATTAATTGTAAATTCATAGGATTAACGGACGCTCATTTATGAGGAAACGGTGAGCATTCGTTACACGCATTGCTGAAAGCACGAAGAGCTCGCGAGACTAAATGTTCACGGCTCGAAATTTTCGGTCTACTTTAAGTCTAATTCAGTTCTACAATGTTATGATGGAAGACTTTTCCGTTCAGTTTGATGCAATCAGGCACCTATATAATCATCGGACGTTCTTATGTCTTCGCATTTATTATCAAAACCACGTTGAAAATACATAAACGCCTTAAAATAAATCTCGTTTCGGAAAAAGGGATAAGGTACGATAATATCTCAGAATTCTTACAATTATCGCGTAAGTGATTTTAATAAATATTATAGAGAATACACGTGGCTAGAATAAAAATAAATTACGAATGGGTGATTATTATTTATTAAAAGTATTTTACTAATTGGGAATACTTGATTGTAAAGAAAAGATACTGACAGATGAGATATTTTTAAATTAGTTGAAACTCATTAGTTGAAACTTTTAGAACGAAGCTTCGGAAACGTAATTCCACGTTGATTTAATCAATTTAAGTAAATGTGTATCAGATATCCAAAATGATGACAAATAAGATCATTATTAAAATTTGAATACTACTCGGTGCAGAACGACTATGATTATCCTCGCGACGAAGAAGCGTCGATATAGTCGAGACAAAACCATCGTCCTGCTTATATTGTCTGTGTTCAGCTAAGAAAGCAATTCAGTGAACACTTTATGATTATTGATCTATCAAGAATCTAAAAGATTATTCCAGTCACCGACAACAATAGCTCGGCTCACTCGAGGCACTCACTGAACTTCTTTCATCGCTGAAAGCAGCTATTGTAAGTTCATAGATAAATCAATAAGTTTCTCTTATGTAAACCATTATAGGCCATTTTGTACGGAAGCTAAATACTCATTGTATTTTTTTTCTTGCGCTTGTTGCAGCTTTTGCAGCTTCTTCAGTAAACCTTTGCTGATTTCTTTACCTCCGGCATCGTGCGTTGGCAATCCCTACACAGAAAAAAACAAACGAAACGATATAATACGTACGCGCGAGATTAATTTTAAATAATAAATGAATCTAACTATTGAGATGTACTCACCTTATCGTCAAATTGAGAATATTTGTCCTTCTCTAATCTGAACATGTCGCTCGGTGGTATCTTCTTCTGCGCTTCCTTCGCCGCCGCTGCAGCGGCAGTCTCCGCTTTCCTTCTTTCCTTCTCCAAGGTTTTCTCGTGTTCCAGATTCTTCTTAATCTCCTTCTCCCTCAACAACTCCTCCTTGTTAACCAATTTCACTTTGCAAGCTTTCTCGTTGCTATCCTCCAACCGCACTCCGACATTCGGTAAGATATCGTCGCGCAATGCGTCGCACTTTTGCAAAATATCGTGCGCCTTCAGAGTTTTCGCGCAGTTCCGCACCTTCTCCCGGAAATCCGCGAGGATTTCGAGATACGGCATGACAGTCTCTTCGACCTGAAAAATTTGCGCGCAGAAATTGATAGAATTGTTAAAAGCGTCTCGATGTGAGCACAGTCGGCAGATTATAAAGGTTGCGACACTTTTTTTTGATAAATTTCGCAAAATATCTCACGTCCAACAGAAAAATTTATTCTGTACGTGATTCTTAACACGTTGAGTGCGACGTCAGTCCCTCGGGACTGACAGTGAACTTTCCGTTCAGGCGGCGCCGGTCCCTGCGGACTGACAGTACACTGTTCGTTCAGGCGGCGTTAGTCCCTGGGGACTGACAGTGGACTTTTCGATTGGGCGACATTGGTGCGTGAAACCGGCATTGTCAAGGGTTAAAAAATTAATGTTATAATTTTAATGGATTCTATTAAAACATTTTAAGCAAAGGTGTGGATGAGATTTGCACATATTACAATAAGTAACGACCTTTTTTGTTAGTTTTCTCGCTAACGTACGCCCGAATCTTTTTGTATTTGTGCTATAACATTCAACACAATATTTTCGAACTTTATACGCCTTTCCTTCTTTCTTTTTAAATTTGTGAATAGTTCTGCCTGTATCGGCTGTATGATTGGAGTTTCCTCGTGTGAATGCCGCCTGAGCGGAAAGAATAGCAAAATCGACGCCGCGCTCAACGTGTTAAGAGATACATTTTCCCACTGAATATAAAATGCGTTGTGAAACTTATTAAAAAGTGTTGCAGTTTTTAATATGCCGACTATATACGTATCAATGTATTTATCTTACATTTGTACCAGCTGCCTCATCATCGATTGGAAACCCGATGGAATCGTATGGGGAAGATATGGCTCCGAATATGACGAACATTTTCGTGATATACACAGCAATATCCCTGAGAAGAAGCGTATTTGGATTTTTACTTTGATTCGTGTATACGTTGCAATCGGTAACAAGTTCTCGTATCACGTCAAGAGCAGTTCTTGTATCAATATTATCTGTAACAAATTGCATTTTATTACTAACAATACATCTGGAATTATTACTGAGACACAGATCATGGAAACATCTAAGAGACTTACCACACAATGCTTTGTGCATGGAATTCTTAGCGATATGAAACTTTCTATTGAGTTCCTTCTCGGAATCGGTCCATTTAGCGAAACTATCGATAGTAGTTTGCTTCCCTAAACTTCTAATTCTGCATTTGATATTTAAAAAGAATTCCTGGAAAATGAAGCATCAGCCTTATGAGACATTTAAGCTTCAAAGAACGTGGTGACGAGACATAAAACTTACGTTAAGGAATTTTTCGTATTGCACGGCCATATTCATAGTATTATCGCTGTAATCTAAAGTGTCTTTCCATGAGTGTAGCAGAAACGCGAGCCTCAGCTGCCTCGCCGAGTGCTTTCTCAAAGCGTCTTGTATTGTAACGAAATTCTTCAGCGACTTGGACATCTTGCAGCCGGCTATCGTCAAGTGGCCTGAGTGCAGGAAATATCTCACCCAATGCGAATTGTCGAAGTACGCTTCCGCTTGAGCGAGTTCATTATCGTGATGAGGAAATTTGAGATCCACACCGCCCGTATGAATGTCCAGGCTGTCTCCGCAAATCTCAGACGCCATAACCGAGCACTCGATGTGCCATCCTGGACGTCCCTTGCCCCAAGGACTATCCCACCAGGGTTCACCAGCCTTTGAGCTCTTCCAAAGTGCGAAATCCGTTACAGATCTCTTCTCGGAGAGTTTATCTTCCGTAACACTCAAGTCGCCTACCGAAACAAACGAGAAATAATACTCGAAGATGACGATGAATTAACGTGTAAAGAAGAAATACCTAACTTAAAAAACTCGAGCTTACCTTCACCTTCTTGCAAGCTTGACATGTCACCGTATGCTTCTGGCACAAGCTTAGCGTAAGAATGCTTCTCCAGTTTGTCGAACTTGCTCACATCAAAATACACTGATCCGTTACTTTCGTAAGCAAGCCCATTATCTATTATTCGCTGTACAAACACTATTATCTCGGGAATATATTCACTAACCCTTGTCAAGACATTCGGTCTTAATACCTGAATAATTTACAGAGATTAAAGTTAATATTCACATATTAGTTTCGTCTTAAAAACATCGGTACTATATTTGATGTTACATTTAAGGCATCCATATCTTTATGGAATTCCGATTCCCAATGTTTCGATAATTTATTGAATATCGAGAGCTCTGTGATGGTGCTGCCTTTCATTTGGTCCAACCAGTCAGATAATAGATCTTTGACTTCTTTCAACAATGCCTACATGTACATGAAAAAAGACGTTAATATTTTTTCAAAAATAATTTTAGAGGTAATATATATATATATTAATATTAAATAAATCATTCTTACTTCCTGAAGCATCACAATTTCTTTCTCATCTTTATCTCTAACTGCTTTCTCCAAATTTTCAATAACCTTCGTTAGTTTGCTTAGCATCTTTTCCAACATGCACTTCTTGTCTGAGTCAGATATCGTTCCGACAGTATTTTCAAAATTAGACATCACTTGTTTAGCATCATCCAATATATTATTAAGGTTGTGATTTTCTTCTACATATTTTTCGTATAAATAATTCTGCCTTGCTCTTTTGATAATTTTGTCATCTATATCAGTAATATTCATTACATATATAACATCGTATCCAAAATAATCTGACAATACACGGCGCAAAATATCAAATGATATATATGACCTGAAAGAGTACATCTCAGTATAAACATCTGACTTGCATATTCAGCAAAATATATTTAAATTTGGATGATAAAAAACAAATAAATTGCATAAGAAACATATTTTGCATTAAGTCAAATAATATAAATACTTCTGAGAAAAATAATAGTAACAATACAGTAATAATATATATTTGTGATACCTTGCATGACCCATATGTGATGCGTCATAAACAGTTGGCCCACAACTGTACCATAGTATACGATTCCCACACTGTGGAACAAATACTTCTTTCTTTCTAGTTAGACTGTTGTATAATTGAAGTACCGTGGTATCTTTCCTGCCTGGAGGATGCCAAGCTGGTTGCAACCGTTTTGCCATTTCAAATTTCTGTAATACAACATATCATACTTTGATCAAAGTACCATTTATCTTCGTAGTTATTGCATAAATCATGAGTAAATTAATATATTTTCTCTGAAAACTTTGAAACATAAGTTGCTCTTTCTCAGACATTTGGAAAACCATCTTGCAGTTTTCTTTGAAAATACCTCAATCTACTATAAACTAGTTTACTTTGAGGTATAATTCTTGAAAAGCCCGAATAAATTTCTTTTAAATCCAATATCACGTGTTTAATATATTACAGTACTTACTGTATTTCGCTAAAATACAAAGTGTCAAAGATGATGTTACAAAGTAGGAAGTCGCATGTTACACACGAGTGAAGACGTGTGACGAATCGATACTCGATTAGTTTTACGTTGAAAGATCGATTATCTTTTCGATATTAATAAATTCAATTAACTTAATTCTTATAACGTTGAAAATAAAAGGTTATTTGAAATAATTTGTTATTAAGTCGCGCTAATTAAAACTAAAAAATCTATTTACTTACCGTTTAACTACTAAACGTTGGAATTACACTTGAGAATAACGTTTTTCTGACAAATTCTCGTTAAGTATAGTAGCGACTCGTAGCGGAGATTCTAGAACTAAATTACAGAAATAACAGGTCTAATAATTCCGTAAACCCGTTATTTCTGTAATTTAGTTCCAGAATCTCCGCTACGAGTCGCTACTATATCTAACGAGAAACTAAGGTCGTGATATGAATAAACGATGGAGCCGGACATAATTTCTATTTTTTAAGTAATATGACTCAAGGGCTGGTCAGAAATGCTTCCATTGTAATAAAACATAGGTAAAATTCAAGCTATAACTTTCATAAAAATGACGCTATGGAATTACGCGTATTTAACATGAGAAAATGTGATATAATTTATAAATATAATCATAATTTTTTAGTTTTAATTTTCTTGTATTAAAGCGTGTGTAATCAATATATTGCTCTATTATTTATCTTTATATCTACACTTTGTATATGTAATTTGACAGCTTTCATATCTCCTACTGCGCATGATTGTCAATTCATAGGGTGTGTTCTGAAATATGAGAAATAAAAACTGTTGCTACCATTCTGTGACCGAGTGTGTAACACGCGCAACGTGTTTTTGCGTGTTAAGTGTCTTGTAAAATATTTTAAATTGTTACAAGGAAAATGAAATTCTCGTACAAGGTGAATGCTTATTAATAATTGCATATTTCATTTTTCTCCGCTATTCTAAAAGTTATGCTTTGTGCATCTAATATCATCTTGATTTAACTTAATCTAACCTAATTCTGTTTATATTGTTGTTGAGCACATTGTATTTAACATTGAATGAAGAAAAACATACTTAATAAAAACTTTTATACTATTGGAGAGAATTTTTTGTATGTGTACGTGTCAGAAACAAAAAAATATTTTTATACATATAGTGATCATTTTTAATTTCTGTTACAGTTCAGTAATTTACTTGGTACAGTTTATCGTAAGGGGGATCTACTCTTTTCTCCAGATGGATCATCGGTTATTAGTCCTGTGGGCAATAGAATTACAATTTATGACTTGAAAAAGTAAGTAAATAAAATATACTAGTATTGATACATTTACTATTATGTTTCGATTGAAAGTCGTTCACTATAGTGTACTCTATCTATATCTTTAACCATATTTAATACGTGTTTATACTTGTATACAAAATAGATTAAATAAGTAAATATTTTATATAATGTATCCTTTTACATGTATATGATATCGGTCTCTACTAAGAAATCTGTGCATCATATTAGAGATTGTGTTAATATTAATTATATTTTTTATTATATATTTATTTTTTTTTTTTAATGAAACCTGTATATGAAAAAAAATTCATTTTATATTTTTTATTTATATTTTTTATTTATATTTATGAGAAAAACTATACTTGCATTTATTACAAATTTTACCAAGCTTTGTATATTACATACTTAAAGTTTAATTATATTTCTTTCTCTCTCTCTCTCTCTCTGTTCTCCTGATTTCCATAGAATCATTTGTTATAAAATGTTACATATTTAATAATAATTTTTCTTTCAGTAATAAATCTATGACACTTCCTGTGGAAAGCAGATATAATTATGTTACTATTGATATATCACCAAATGGTAGTATATTGGTTGCAATCAATGAAGGTAAGATTTTTTTGTTACATACATATTTTTAGAAACATTTGTGTAATTTATAAAGGAATGCTTACATATTTGTGCAGATGGCGAAACTCATATAATAAGTCTGATGAGCAAGATTATTTTACACAAATATAGATTCAAGGGACGTCCAAAGCGTGTAAAATTTTCCCCAGATGGGAAATATTTTGCAGTTTGCAAAGGAGGCGGTGGTACTTGTCTATTTTTATTTATTTATAAACACAATCTTGTGATTTATCACACATATGACGAATACAATTTATCATATATGAAATTATATTTGTAATTATTATTCAATATTACTTATTTTTTTTATATTATAGTTTTCGTCTTTAATGCACCCTGTTTACAAAGTGGAGATTATAATCCATTTGTTATGGCACATTTTTTTCATGGATCTACTGCTGAAACAACCTGCCTCAGTTGGTCTTTTGACTCGAAACTATTAGCGGTTGGTTCCAAGGATACTACAATAAAAATCTATAGTTTACAAAAATGGGCGAATTTTAGGTCAATTACATTGGGCTGCCATTCTGATGTGATCGTAGGATGTTTCTTTGAGAATAAAAATTATGACTTATATACTATTAGCAAGTGAGTGAGAGTTTAAAATATTTCTATTATATTTAAGGGCGGCAATATGTCGATTTTGATTTTGAATATTATATGTATTAGGCAGGTTTTGTATAAACGTGTACATTTACAGAAACGGACGAATTTGTATCTGGGAGTGCACAATTGACCCGGATGATTTAGTTGACTGGAAACCACGTATAAAAAAGAGAAAGCCTGTAGATAGCGACAGTGAAGATGACGTTGATACAAAAAAAGCTATAGAGAATCCAAAGGCCCGTACCTTAGAAGATAGCTTAATAGAATCAGGTGGGGAATTTCCCTATAATTTTCATTTTACAAGGTTCTCCAATCTAATATATATACATTTAATAATTTATATAAAGACAACTAGAATAATAGTAAGTACTTTATTTTGTTTAAAAGAATATTTATTTTATTAGAGCGTTTGCTACAAGATAATGATGTAGAAGGGGAAGCTGTAGGACAAGATACTGTAGAAGAAAATACTGCTGACGGAGCTGTCGAGGTCAGAAGGTTAGGTTTCAAGAAATTGGCGCGTCATTATTTGTCGGATGAACCTCGAAAGCATACCAAGGATGTAAAACTTACCGCAGCTGCTTATCATCGAGATACTCGTATATTGGTCGTTGGATTCAACAATGGTTCATTTTATTTATACGAAATGCCCGACGTCAACATGATTCATTCATTGAGGTACCGTATATTTTACTCTCGAACAAGATAATTGATATGATGCAATCTTTATTTAATTATATTTATTATTTAATGTTATATATATATATATAAATATATACACACATGTATATGTAAATTTTATATATATATGTATAATTAATATAATAGACTCCACTCATTTTATATCGCTCGCGCTCAATTTACACTACTGAATTACATATAACCACCGATTTCGCCTTACAGTATTTCCCGACAGCGTATTTCGTCAATTGCGATAAATTCTACCGGCGACTGGATAGCTTTAGGATGCTCTTACGCTGGCCAATTGTTAGTTTGGGAGTGGCAGAGCGAGACGTACGCATTGAAACAGCAAGGACACCGAACCAACATGAACTGTTTAGCGTACAGCCCGGACGGCCAGTACATCGTGACCGGCAGCGACGATGGAAAAATGAAATTGTGGAACACAGTGACTGGATTTTGCACGCTCACGTTCCACGAGCACACCTCGTCGATATCGAGCGTTCTTTTCAGTCACAATCGTAAATTCGTCGCGTCCGCTTCACTAGATGGGACCGTTCGCGCGTACGATCTAGTGAGGTACAGAAATTTTCGCACTCTCACTTCGCCGCGACCGGTGCAATTTTCCTGTATGGCGATCGACAGAAGTGACGAGTTTCTCGCAGCGGGTGGCCAGGATTTCTTTGACGTGTACTTGTGGAGCATGAAACTCGGGAGTCTCTTGGAGGTGTGTGTAACATTAACAATCTGAATAGCAAATCAAAGTGTGATTTGAGGCTGCACCGAATGCGCTTTTTCTACAAATATCCGCTATAAATTTCAGATACTCACCGGTCATGAAGGGCCCGTTTCGAGTTTGGCATTCGATCCCACTATTGCCAGTACAGAATTGGCATCTGTATCCTGGGACAAAACACTGAAACTGTGGAACGCCATTGAGCATGGTTCTGCCCATGAAACTATACGGTTAACTTCCGAAGCGTTGTGCGTAGCTTACAAACCAAACGGGCGCGAAGTCGCGGTTTCCACGTTGGACGGGCAGATTACGTTTTTCGATTGTAAAACGGGCAGCCAAACGGCTTACATCGAGGGCAGAAATGACTTAGGCGCTGGTAGATCGAAAACCGATCTCATTACGGCGAAAAAGAATTTGCAGGGAAAGTAAGTAATTCAAGTCTATCGGAGCGCTGGGAATATTGTAATATGTTATTGGATCTTAACTTGATATTTTATTCTGTTACTTTTCAGAGCTTTCACCACTTTAAGCTACTCGGCCGATGGTATATGCATATTAGCCGGTGGCCGCTCGAAAAACGTATGCATTTATAACGTTGAAGTGTGCACGTTGCTGAAGAAATACGAGGTCACTCAGAACAGATCTCTGGATGGCGTGGATGTAAGTATCCGATGTTGCAACAAAAGTGATCGGTCCATTCTTATTTTCAGCTCTTAATTTTACGTACTGTCTCTTTTTCCCCAAAAACAGGATGTTATAAACCGAAGATACATGTCTCAATTTGGAAACATGGCTTTGCTTGAGCATCGCGAGAGTGGAAATATATCGTTGCATTTACCGGGTGTTAGGACCGGTGATAAGGCAAGCAGAAAGATCAAACCAGAAGTGAGAGTACTCTGTTTACAGTTCTCTCCTACAGGTAAGAATGTATAACATTATTTACTAATATCGTAATTTAGTTAGTAAGTATGTGTAAGTATATCCTGTGTTATAGCCGTTACAATACATTTTACAAACGTACGTCTCTCAGTTTAATTGGCATTAATTTTGTAAAATAGGGCAAGCATGGGCTGCAGCGACAACGGAAGGTTTATTAATATACTCCTTGGATATTGGATTGATATTTGATCCCTTCGAGTTGGAACTTGGAGTTACGCCAGACACTGTGAAAGAAATGCTTGAAAAGCAAGACTACGCGAAAGGTATCATTTTTTATTGGATGGTCAGGATTAATAACAATAACAACAATAATTACGCGACTGAACGATAAGCATAACCTGCAATGGTATTCTTCCAGCATTGATAATGGCGTTGAAATTAAACGAGAAGTTATTGACACAACAAGTTCTAGAAGCTGTTCCATACCAAAACAGTAAGTTCATACATTTATAACATATTAATATTCATAGTTCGCACATTGAGAAACACTCTGATGATGATTTCATTGATAATCTTACATGCGATGAATATTCATTTCACCTTTTTACTATTACAGTCGGCTTAACGACGACGAATATATCGGATGTTTACATAGAGAAGCTGTTAAAATTTATAGCGTCCGAATTGGAATCCACCAGACACATACATTTTTATTTGCTCTGGATAGAAACAATCCTGACGAAACGTGGATCACACATCAATATCGCGCTTCAGACGCCAGTCTTATTGATGTTGCAGAAGAATATGCAAAAGAAATACGACGATCTGAGTAAAATGTTGGTTTTACTGTGTATATTCCGAACTATATATGTGCTGCTCAAGGTTAAACATCGAAAATTATTAATATATCTATTTGCAGATGCGATTTTAACCAATACACGTTAAATTATATACTGAAGATGGAAGAACTGAAACGGCCGATGCAGTTATCGGTAGAGTCAGATGATGACATGACTGATGAAAGTGAGGAAGAAAAAGATCGTCGTTCCGAAGATTGCAAGTGGAGCGAACCTTCCTCGGACGAATGTTTAGAAAATATAGACAAATGTTGAGAGAAAAAAAAACATTTTATTTTCCTACATATGCAAATTCGCGGAAATTTCGATTACAATGTAATACGTGTGAAATTTGTCAATGACGATAGTTTGTAAGTAGGACGTGTCTCGTTTATCATGGTGCCTTTTTTAACAACGCTATCAGCCAATATATGACGACAAAAAGCAGAAAGAGTATCGGAAATACGATTCTGCTGTAACAATCGATCTTCTGAGAGCGCGTCTTACGCGATGATTGCATTACCTGGCACCCATTATTCAGCCACATTGCTGGCAGTAAATATCGACTGGTTTTCTTGTTTCTCGGTTTAGTTGCATATGTATACTCATTGTCCCAGAAGTTTTGTCTCTCCTCCATCGCTATTAATCGCTGAAAGTCAAATAAAATCGAGATAAAATTTACACAATGCATTTCTCGAAAGGTCTGCTGATTGTGACACAATATCGTGAGATATATTGGGGGAAAGAGTATAAATATGGAACGAAGTGTGGGAGAAGTTATATATAGAATTTGCATTTATGCTAAAACCACTGCTTGAAACTATCAATAGTTACATTCATTTAAAACATTAGATTCCATTTAGATCACTCAAGAGCACTGACGTTAAAATGACGCAGCGTTTAGCTATGTAAACGAATATTCTTACGAAAGTGCGATGTATCCATGAAGTAATATTTAACAATCTTTTTCATATGTATATTGTTAAGTGTAAAATATTAGCTCATATGTGTCAGATAATACTAAGTGTGAAGTGTGAAGTATGAATTATTTGGAAATGTGTGTACTGGCACAATATTACGGCACAATTTTAACATTTTATAATGCCACGAAAAATCAATAGTGAATTTGACGAACTTTATTTCATTCTGATAAAAAAGGAAAATAAGTATTCCCATACAGTACAGAAGCTTGCAGCAACATTGCTACAACATTGTCAACATTGCTGCAGAAATGTTGCTGCAAGCTTCTGCGTTGTACAGATAATGTATATTGTCCGCTTAAAATCCTAAAAGTTAATTTAAATGATGAAAGTTATCCGTGTAAACGCAATCTTAAAATCTATGTCACAAACCTAATACACATTTTTTTTTAATTTATATAAATAATTTATATTAATAACTTATTTAATTGGATACGAACCGAGAACGAGCGGGATTCTACGGAGCTCTGGGAGTCATTTTCGACGTGTCGCAAGTCGAGCACTTTGACCACGACGAATTCACCCAGAGCCGCGAATACAAACATCATACAGCCGGCCATCCACACGTCCAACGCCTATGCGAGCAGTGCGTGTGAAGCTTCGTGTCAAAGGAAAAGTAGGTACTTACACAAAGGTAGAAAAGACGTTCGACACGCATGGTAAAATCATTACAACGTTGGAGTACGTGTGCAAACTTACCTTAATATACGCCACTGGTGGGATGTCGCTCTTAAGGCCGGTGAACATCGTTACCAGAGTAAGCATGCTCGTGACCAGAAGAGCCACTCGACCAGGAATCGCATCCAAGCCCAGCCAGAAGCTGAACCAAGAGAGCATCACTACCAGCGTCGACGGTGCGAAAGTTTGTATTAAGTGGTGACCGATCTGTCTCTCGAAGCGAAAGAAGACGACCAGTCTCGAAAAATTTCCTGCAAGAATAACCCTTTCGGATCTCGCTGTCTCTCTCTCTCTCACTCTTAATTTAACTCTTAATTTAACTCTGAATTTATCAGGACGAATCGTCGCGCTTTCTCAAATTTTCTGAATCCAGCGTGAATATGATGCGATGTATTACATAGCATTACAATGAAAGATACTGTTATATTATCACGCTAATTAAATATCACTTTTGTTGGAGAATAATTAATATAACGATCATATAAGACATTTCAATAACACACTACGTTTACGCTACATGAGTCCAATGATCGTGATTGAATTTCTTAAAGTTGAATTAAATAGTAAGCGATAATTAAATTTCAATTGCGCAGGTATGCCGTACCGTTTTTCTCCAGCATGTAATCTATGGTCTCCTCGAGCACCGCAGGCTTCCCGATGTCGTATTGCAACAATTTTAGCTCGGGATTCACCGTGACACCACCCTTGCCCCATTTTAAGCGTAGCTTCTTTCTGTTGTAGGAAACTGCAACAGGTAACTCGGCTTATTGCAACAGATAAAGCGATTTGCCAAGTTTAAAGATTCACACACTTATTGTTATGTAGGAAGAATTTGTACTTTGGAACACCGCCCACTTTTCCCGATTTCTCGCGAACGAGAAACAAGACGTGTCAATTTGAAAATATAAATCGTGAAATACCTAATTCCGAAGTTAATCACATATTTCAAGTTGCAGGAAGACGATGAATCCCGTAAAGCGAGTATGTTGCTAATTTCTATAAAGTAAATGTAGCGATAAATTTTGCTGTAAAAATGCTCTCCTGTTAACGACGAATGACAGTTTGTCTGAGCATTTGTCGATACTTAATTACACCGTTTCAATTTTGCAGAGATCCCGAAACATTATCATATTGCAAAAATGTCTATCTATTTGGAAACAACAAATTATTACAGTCGAATATGTAAAGTAACATTTCACCGATAATATACGTGTGATTTATAATTGAACCATTAAGATGAATGAGGTATCTTTTCAATTACATCTTTCACTTTTGCACTCACTTACTTACAGCTCTCTATGTAAATCGGGCAGATCTGAATGTCCATCGGATACAACTGAAACTCCATTTGACAGGCGACAATCGCGTTAATTCGCGCGGAATATTTAACAGTTTTATTCCGATATAACGTGACCAGAGAGAACTTATGGTTTAAGGTCGCGATCTCTGAAAAAAAATCGTTAATTTTATAGTTCCCACTAGAAATTGGACGTTGCGTTACTTTGCCGTATATGCTCACCGGATACTTTGGAATTCAGGAAATACGGGTCCGGTTGCCAAAGATTGTCGAAAAATTCTGGTGGGAGTATAACGTAGTCGTCGTCCTCCTCGAACATGTCCTGAGGCATGTTCAGTCGAGATTCCATCCAACTCTGACTGACGAACATGTCTACACTGATAAATTTATACGTTTGTGACTTTTAACGCGCACGTATACCTCACGTGACTAAATTTTATATTCCGTGTGGAAAAAAAATCGCGTATTTGGCAATTTCGATTCAATTTTACACTCAGACCTCTCTTCCAGATGTACTTCAGCTTACCGGAAATCCATATCTTCGACATTGATTGAATTAATGTCAACTACTAAGATGTTAAAATTTACCACTACAGGCGCACCTTTTGCTGACGGTGGTCTAATCTCTGCGAATTGTTTCATTTTCTTACTATTTATCTTATTGTTTGTTATATTAGAAAAAATAAGTTTTCCCTCTGTAAGTGTGATTACCTTTCACATAATGCTCGGGTAGAATTAGTCTTGACGTCACAGTGCAATTGTTGACATCCTCGTTGAACAAACTACGAGAGAGATCCTGTGTTTTACCATTATTTAAATTATCTTATCCTTCAGCGTCAACTAAATATATTCGTTCGTTGTTGTCCAAGTGCTCATTTTCTTTCAAATTTCCACAGCACTTGTTCACACGAAACGTGTAAAAAAATCTTTTCTAATAACTCTTTGCAGTTATAATGTCATTACATATATAACTAGTGACGCATCGCAAATTCTCGACGTATTGAACGCGGAGAAAGAAATAGAAAATGCAAATTGTTTAAACGAAATTACATTCTTCTTATCGCGGTGTGGAAACCATGCTTGGAAAATATTAAAGAGCTTCTCTGTTTCAGTGGATATATTAAGTCCGAAGAAATCTATTTCTCTGTGCATCCGGAAATTTGTACAGCTTATTTGAGCTTATTTGTGAGAGCAAAATGACGGAAATATATCGAAACCACCAGTCATTTCAGACTCCACTCCCTTTTCCTCGATGCGGAATTATTCACAGACGTTTTTCCTCGAAAATCGTCGAAAGCGATAAAAGCGCCGCGACGAAACGCGTCGTCGACTCGTCGTTGATGCGTAATGGCGCGAAAATGACTTTTAAACGAGTACGACGATGTCATTTACCTCGTGGGGCATACTTCCGGGAGAGAATTCCAACACAGGTGAAGCAAAACCATCAGAGGCAGTGCACTCTTCATCTTAGGTCGTGGTCGACTGACGACGATGCGCTTTCAGATGCGCGTCTCTAGCTACGCGAAGTAATTAATCAATTCGCTAACAATTAGCACGTGATCTAATCCAATTGCAAATGCTATTATCCGCTTGCGCGTGTACACAAATTGCTTATCACGAATTGCCCGACGGTTCTGCCGTCTGACATGTTCGCCGCATCGGGTGGCGAAGGTAGGAAAAAAAAAATGAAAAGAAAAGAGAAACGAAACGACGGAAGACGAGAACGCATCTCTCATCGCGATGCAACAATGTACCGAAAGTATTGATAACATCAAGATAGCGTACGTCAAACGTGCGTGCGGACGATAACGAAATTCTTTCGAGAGGCGCTCCTCTCATCTTCATATGCGCGAATATGCTCTTGCGAGGAGAAAATGTGAAGAGATATACGGAGGGAAAGAGAAAGGTGAGAGTGAGAGTGGGTCAGTACAGTACATCTGCGGATGGCTACGGATAGCTTGTGCCGATGCAGGCTTCGCAAATGAGGAAGAAACATACGAAGAGATCGCGACTTGCTACAGCACACGTCCTTCCCTTTCCTCTCGATCGTGTCCTGAACGGTACAACGGTACCGTCCATTTAGACCTTGACGTCATGCGCGCGTCTAAAACCTGACCTCGATCGCCGGCCTCGATGAGATCTTTCGTGCTGCCTGATCTCTTCATTTCCGCACAAGTCTCTCCTCTTCAAGGACATAGTACAGTAAAAGAAAACAAGAAAGACCTCCCAACTTCGCGCTTCTTACGGACGATGCGGATAAGTGGGTGTGGACGACTCAGATTTTCTTGAAAGATTAATTATTATTTTATTTATAGGTCAAGATAGACCGACCGATTTTGATTTGTGCCACCGATAAGAATCGTATGGCTAACGGTTTTTTTTTACGCGTTTTGACATTAGAATTTCAAATCTCTGAGGATCGAGGCTTCGTTATTCGAATTTCGAATATATCGGAGCTTCGAAGCTTCGGCATTTCGAAGATTACGGCTTTTGAAAACAAACCTTCGGAGCTCCGCCTTACCGAAAATCGGAAGTTCGTTTTTTCGTCGAAGCTTTGAATCTTTTAGAAGCTTCAGAATGATCGAAGATCGACAGCTCTACCGGAGGCGCAACGGACTCGAGCTACGGAGAAACAAGAAAACGCAAATCTATTCTGTTTCCTAATAATTGATATTAATAATCTACATTTATCTGACTATCCTTTCCTATTTGACATTAAATGTTGCCTATATTGTTTTTTATATGTTTTTTTCCTTTTCACACAAATTTAAAATTGTACATTCAACAAACATTGTTGCACGAAAGATCCGTAGCTTCGTTAAATTCTCGCTCATCGATTCGAGTCTGTGATGGACAAGAAATTTCTACTTTAACCAATAGACGATCTTGATTATGGAGAGATCTCTCTATCTGATGTTTCAAAGCAACTGATTTTGAAGTAGAATTACATTTGGACATCGTCCGTATGACTATACTGATACTGTTAGGAGAATCTCTCATCGTGTGGGTGGACCGGTGTAAACAGTGGCGTAAATACTAGGTGAAGGGGGTCAAAAAGAGGGAAAGAGAAAGAGAGAGATAAGGAGACAAGACTGCGTATAGAAAGTCCTCTTGCGTATCCATTTTCCACCATCTCTCTCGTCCTCGTTACTCTCTTCCAATAAATACAACTCAATTTCTAAGTCGTACCTCGTAACTGCGCCTCGCTATTTGACGGTGTAGAAGTACCGTATCTCGTGTATGTGCAGATTCGATCTGTCATATCCGTGTATTCTCTAAACTTGAAACTATCATGAATGTTGTCACGTCATTGAAGCATTCGAAGGTCAGTAACCGATAATACCAAATAGTTTCGACGAAGTTTCCACATACCCCACATATTTTGCTCGCAGAAGAGGTCGAGAATTTTTAATTTAAAACTGAGAGAGAGAAAGAGATAATTTCTTCATTTATAGTTTTTTCTCTCTCACTCTCCGTCTCTTTCTCTCTCTTCCTCGATAGCCAACTGTCAATTTCCGGTTTTACCCGTTGCTTCACCTGTAGTGAAAGTATACAAATGCGTAGTATACGCATACGCGTTAACCACGGCAGTAACAAATGACAGATGAATCATTAGTGATCGATCGGTGCTTTTTTCTGACTCCGAGCAATTCCGTCTCAACGATCATCCGTAGTTTTTTGCCTGTATTACAGTTAACGCTGTACCCGATCCAGGAAGGAACAGAGGAGCATTTATTTTCCGCTTGACTTTATCAGTTATTTAACAGCGAAGAAGTCGAGCGATTAGCGATATATAGTCCAGCGATACATCGATCACGTAATTTGGGAAAGTAATCTATTTGGCCAGGAATCACATATTCGATCTGCGGAAGTAAAAAACGAATGGAAGAATCGATGTTAATGTGGACGACTGTTGATAGTTACATAGCGACTCTGTTGTAACGGTGTCCGGATTTATATGACATTTCGGCTAGTGCGAATCTGACAGCGGCACTTTCGGCGAACTTTCACTAAATTTCTTTGAAAAAATGTGCTATTGTTTAGGTAACATTTATGTGATCCAAATATAAAATGACTCCGATACTCCAATACTCCTTGGCAAATATTTACTAGAAGTATAAATATAATTGACTATATACAACATAATATTTCCTCCGTATACATTTACTTATATGTGTTAAAACAATTGCAACAAGTATTAGATATTAAGAATGTCAGAATTTATTTTTAGAATATAATTACTGGACATAGAAATTTAAATTAAAAATGTTTTAAATAAGTATTACATATAATTCTAATAAATAGATTCTTAACTCTCTGGGTAAAATAAGCAAATAAGAACATGAAGTATTCTTGGAGAAAAAAATAGCGTATACCCACTATAAAATAATCGAGCCGTCTGATCGCATCCGACTTTACCGTTAGAGGGTTAAATTTTAGAACCATTTTACACTTTTTATTAAATCATTTACAAATGAAGCTATCGCTGCGTTCAAGTAAATATTTACTTCAAGTTGTTGAAATTGATAAAAATATTACTGAATTTATAAGGCTGAAAAACATTACGTAATTACGTTCACGTTGATTCTAACACTGTTTTCCTGTGTGCGTTCTATTTCCGACGCCGACGCAAGGGTTAGTTCCTTGCGTTAGATCGTGACGAATGGAAACGAGTTACGCGGACGTAATCCTTCTCCCGTCCTGTTGCAAGCGGCGCCAAGACCAATCTCGACGAGGGCGTCGATCCTCGACGAAATCCCATGTGCACGGTGTAAGCTCCCCTTAAGGGTTGTATTGATTTCTACGATGGCGGCCGGCCGGCGCCTGCACCCTCCGCGAGATCGGGAAAGGCCTGACGGCGCGAGAGAGAGCGCCGCTCCTGCGTTAGAGTTTTCCCTTTTTTGTTGCACCGGCGACAGACCGGAGGAGGTGCTTGGATTACGCGTGTCGGTGGTGCGAGGCGCGTGTGAAAGCTAATTGCTAATCGACAGAAACGCGTCGGCACTTTCGTTTCCGCGCACCCCGCGAACCTTCGCGCTGTACCGCGGTCACTCGCGGGTGACGGTGTCGGTGTATGCATGTGGGCGCGTGTGGGATCATTGACACGGTGTGTTGATCGTTGAATAACGCGCGAATGTCGGCATTACCCGGCTGAGACGAAGCAGGCGACCTTACGCGGCCCTTCCTGAATGAAAGCCGCGAGTTTCATTTGACGTCGCCCCAATAAACGGCGATACCGACCGACGGAGAGGTTGTTGCCTGAGGGTTGTCGACGGCGAGGTGGAGAGTCGTGTGACCGCGATCACGGCGAATCACGACGGAGAAATCAGCGGGGGAGAGCGCTACTCTCGGGTAAGACGTCGGCGCGATACGCGAAATCACCTCATCGCCGTGAAATCCGATTAAATGTCGGACTGAGAGAGGTTTTTCCCCGAGGAGGAAACTCGCTCTCGGTGTGTGACGTGGTTACACCACGCGACGACGACGATAGTTCGCTAAATGTATCGCTCGCAGCGATCGAAGGGTCTCTTCCGCCGCTCGATTGAGACACCAATGACTGGCGGAATTAAATGTTACGTTTTCGTAAACGCGTTCATTGAGAGAGGAATCATCGAGACAGTGAATAATATTTATTGGTTAACGTATAATGTAAACAAGCGATTTGCTATTTACTTCGAGTAATGTGACGATCTTTTCCTGTTCTTAATCCTATATTAATCTTATCTGGTTTCACTGCTTGTTAGGAATACGCAGCTGCTCATGCGCGATTCGTAGTTTCTAATAAAGTGCTGATGTACATTGAAGTGATATCGTAATTATGATTAATTAACGGCAGGTTAGTCAGAATCGGAGCTTTGATCGTTTCGAACCAGTTGCATTTTTCAACTTTTTGCTCCTTGGATATCGCTCGATATAACTTATAAGCAGCTTAAAATTATTTAATTCTCCGATAAGACAGGGAAAAATCAATTGTTTCCAAATATTTCTACATATTTCTCACATTTCTCCATATTTCCGTACACACAGATATTAATAAAATTACATAATATTACATTTAATGTCTCTACAGAAGCATCCTTTTAACAAATTCAATGTACAGTACCACGTACAGTGATTAATATTTGGAAACACAGCACAACTAACATAAAAAGGAATAAACTATTTGTTATTCCTATGTGACCGTTAGTGAAACCTTAAAAAATTTTGCGAAATTGTAAAAAATGCGCAGCTTCCTCGCTATATCACAGAAACATGTCTAGTTCAAATGTTAATTAAATTCGAGTTCACTTGACATCAATGTTTTTTTAAGGTTATTCAAGGCTAACTGCATATTAAGAGGTGAGGACTGCATATACACACCTGTCACTTGCCTGTGAATAACTTGTCAGCTATAGTTTACATTCTATCGACCGACTTATACCCTCTTTTATCGTTTGTTCATGCGTCTTACTTTTAATATAAATC